AACTTCTAAAAAATTTGCCTTCTTTTTATTCTGTGATAGGTCGTAATAAATCCAACCAATTGTCTGGCATTGGAAAAAGAACCTGTTGGAAAACCTACCTTGAACAGCAAAACCTTTTGGATGGATTTGGCACTGATTCGTAGGTACTCTGAAAACACATTCTCTAATCTTGAAAATTTTTTCATCAAACTGTATTCAGAAACTGCCAAAACATTGGCAGTTAATGGAAGTAACAACTTCCATTAACATTTTGAGGAGATTAATGGTTCCTTTAAAATAATTGCTAAATTGCCATTGACTGAAGACGCCCTAAGATTACATTGTTTAAGATGTTTTTACCAGCTAAGTATTTGGCTAAGCTCTTTAAAGACCCAGATGCAGCTTCCTAATGTTGAAGAGTATGAATGCAAAGTGGATCAAGATTGAAGCCTGATACCCACTCTTAAGATTATGCTCGACCTGCTACCAGAAATAACAGAATTTATCATGCAAATACAAAAAAGGTACTATACACCGATAATTTTCATATATGTACAATATTTTAACAATATTATTCTATTCTAGACTATGGAAGCAAAATTTGCAAATGCAGAAAAAAATATTGGCTACATCGGTTAATGCACCTGTATGGCACAGAAAAACTGCAGAAATAGTTTGATCATATCCGCTAATGTTTTGGAAAATGTAGATTAATGTGGTGAATCTGATTTTGATTAGTTTGAGTCCTGTACTTATATATTTTAATATTATTAATTTATGCTTTATATACTTCTAATTATTGAATTTTTTCATTAGGAATTTATTGTATTCTGCAAAGCAATAGCTTTACTGTTTATAACCTATACTTATATATACTGTGCTTATACCTTCCATAAATAGTTTATATTTTATTTTTTTATTTTCCTCAAAAAAATATCATGAAGTAATACACCCTATAAAACATTATTCGCCTTCATAGCGGATAAATCAATAATACCTATATAAAATAATGTAAGAGAGTCAAACAGATTGCATACATTTCATCCCTGAGAGAGACGCATACAGTCAAGAGACTGGTTCCTTTCCTGTAAAACCATGACATCAGTAATTGTTTATTGCTATATTTTTGTTAATTTTTTAGCAAAAAATATAAGGAAAGCACTATTATCTTGTCAATACACAGGCGAAACTTTTATGAAGAATATTTTTTTTCGTTTAGTTCTTCGTTTTTCGTCAAATGAAAGGTATATTTCTAAAAGAAGATTTTTTTAACTAAATTTGTCGACAGCCAAAATAAGTTTTAATCTTATATTGTAAAATACATAGGTAATATTATTTTGTGCTATTGTGGAATATTTTTCGGTTTCCTTCGCGCGTTAAAGTTTAGAATATGCATCCCTCGTATCTACATGCAATTGTTAAAATTATGAATGAATGCTGATTTTGTTTGGTCTCGGAAGTAATTTTGTAGTATTTAGGCTCCACCCTTAAGTTGTAATTTTTATACCTACTAAACTACCGTTGCCCCGCAGGTCTTTTAGTTTGTAATGTAAATTTTCCTCTTTTGGTAAATCAATATGAATATTCAATGAATTTAATAATTATATTCCTAATAATTCATCAAATATGCAATGAAATTGATATACAAAAAATTTTATATCCTGTGTTTGTTGTAATTCTGGGAATGCCAGAATGGTTACTGGAAAATTATGGTTGGAGGGGCCAAAGGCTGTTGAAACAATGAATGGTTCCTCTATTTTAATTTTTGAAAAGTATTTATCAACAACTTCTGAAGATAAAAATGATCTATATACCTACCCCGGTGTCTAGTAAAAGATTTAATAGTGGGTTTATTTATTAAAATATAAGACAATTGCCTTTTATCGAATAAATTGTAAAATTCTATCACGGATTCGGATTTGGTAGGCCATGTACTTGAAAAATTTGGCTTATTATCGCCAGAAGTTGTGTCGACAATTTCATACTCATAATTGTTGCTCACAAAATCGTCTGACTTATCTGGTAAATTGCAAATGTCTATATTATTTAATACTTCAGACACCCATCTATTATTTTGAGGTAATTGATTTCTGGAATTTCCTGAAATTTGCCGGGAGTTCGAACTCAATGGAATAGGTCTAGGTGAATTATTTGCATTTAAATTAGGATTTGGTTCCCAAACGTTTTTGTGGTTCAAAGACCTGCTAATTTGTAAAAAATCTTTGATTAGCTAATGATCTAGGGCGAATTTTTACAGAACCAGTAGGAAATGAACCACTATAGTTACTATTTGTGTGTGTAATCGGCTTCAACTGCCAAGGTTATTTCGTCCCGTGTTCTGTGCAGGCTTTGTTACTGTTTCCCAGCGCCAATTTAGGAACAGCACTGTTTAGACAGTGAATGGTCGAGTGGGGAATCCTATCAAGGCAGCAGAATTAATTTTAAATAATTAAATTATGTAAATGAAAAAATCCCGGCCAACGGTGGGATTCAAACCTGGAACCCTTGGATCCGCAGGCAGATACTCTACTACTGAGTCACCCACCCCCTAAGTTACTATATTTACTATTATTATTATTATTTCTGTAGTAGTTAGTGCTAGGTTAATTGAAATTAGTTTATTGGTCATTATTAAAATTTTGATTTCTATTAACAAATTGATTATTATTCTTTAGGCGACAGTTTAAAATGTTTTATTAGAGTTATTCTGTCTATGCTGGTGATCGGGACTTTTACAGAAATTTGAGAATGATTTGAATGCCAATTTTGTAAATATTTAGTATTATTTTCTTTCCTTATTTTCTTTCGGGCAGTGTTTTCGGGTCCTTGGTACGAACCATGATGCCATCAATAGTTTCTTAAACAGGCTAAAAAGACTTGAAGAGCTTGTTCGGTGTTCGTTTTATGATTTTTGTTTTAATTTTCTTATATATAAATTGTGTTCATGCAAACCGAGGTAGTTTTAAATAGTATTTTTATGAAATTCATTTGGGCTCTCGTTAGGAGCTTGCTTACTTACTTAAAATATCACAATGGTGTACATAGTATAAGTAAATGAATTTTAAAATATTAAAGTGAACAAATCATATACGGAAGTATAAATAGATTTTTAGGTGTATAATTAAAAAAATATATAATATTTCAACCAATTAAGTATGTTTAATAACTTATCCATACATGGCAGTTTAAATTCGAAATTATTAGTGCTTATAAACTGTGGCATAAGTGTTATTTTATTTTCGATAGGATTTAACATATACATGTATCGATACGGGATATCTTTAAGTCGTAGAATATCGATACAAAATATCGAGTTTCTAACTCCCCCACTAAACATAAAACATTACCAGTCTTTTTTGTAACGTTTCTCATAGAGACTTTTTTTGATATATTATTAAAACGGTACTAAAATATCCCATAGATAGAATTTTAATCATCATATTCATTAACTTTCCTGGCATATATCTACAAATGAAGTTTTGTATACGCTGGAATACTTGAATTAGCAGTTACATAAACAGCTTCTGTACTTCTTTTTAGTTACTTCCTGTGACAAATATTTATACGATGTTAATTTATATAACTAACAATAATATCGCATACAGGTCAGCACAGTAATGTGTACAAGTTACATAATATGTTTAAGACGGCTATCTTTAGTCTTTACATCGAAGACCTAACAGTTCGTCCCGCGTTCATAGATGAAGATACCAATGATAGCTTACTACTTACATAACCGGTAGGTATTGTATTATGAAGCAGTCTGTTGCCCGGTATTAAGTATTTCATTAAAGTTCTTACTTTTACTTTCGATAATAATTATGACTATTGTATTATCATACTTTTTCCGTAAAATTTCCTAGAATTAGAAGTTTAACTTATCTCTTCTAAACTTTTAATAACTTCAAGTTAGATTAGAAGACATTATTTCTACATTTTGTACTCTGTTTTACATAAAATAAGTCCATATAAAATTTAAAAGACAAAGATAAAAATAAAAAGGTATGAACTGTATCATATTTGGAACGTCACATTTGGTTCATTAATATGATTTTATTTTATGGGTTTGTTTTTTTTTGCTGTTCTGTCCGATTCGAAAAATATGGTACAATTTATAGAATCTGGTACATTTTTATGGAATCTGGTACATTTTTATGGAATCTGGTACATTTCTCAGACAAATCTGGTACATAACAAAAATATATTCTGGCAACACTAGTCTATGCGTGAAGTTTTTGAAAGTTAGGGGGAGGAGTCATTGTTTGATTTAAGATATATGAAACTTACTTTATTAAAATTATTTAAATAATTATTATCGTTATTATTGAGTTTTGATTACTAAATATAGCTATAATTCGGATCCGTGATCACCAAAGAATAAAGATTAAATGTTAGAAGAGTCTGACATAAAAGAAAAATAAAACTTACAATACGGTTTTGTCTTAATTATGAAAGTCTCCAGAACAGTTCTTTGGTAGAACCACTAAAATTTTCTTACGATGGAAAGTTCAAAATTAGTACGAAACGTTGAAAATTCCTAATTGTCACTTACCTAAAATATCGAAAGTTATTCACGTCGGATTCTTCCTGACAATCCTACTAACTGCGCCAAAAATATAATACGACTTTAAAAATATTTTTTTCAAAAAACTATTTTTTATTCAAACAATTTTAATGACTTAATTGTAAAAATAAACTATTGTTCACAACATGTTTGTGGTTAACCAGAAACTTAAGCTTCTAGGAACTTCTGGGCACCTCAGTAGTTTCTATGATACAATTTGAGAGATACACATAATTTGATGAAAATAAATTCAACAGAGACAGATAATAAGGTTCAGCTACGTCTAGATAATTATTGTCGATTCACTGTTACAGAGCAATACCGAAACTGAGTGAGGATTTCGTTTAATTTTCCCTTGTTGTCAATATGGCTGTTCATTTTCTCTAGTTGGTTCTTGGCCATATACTATCAATAAGACTAGTTCACATTTCTACATCTTTTTTACTTTTTATTTCAGGTAATATATGTTGCTAGAAATCCAAAAGACGTTGCCGTTTCATTTTACCATTTAAATAGAGCATATAGAACACAGGGATATATTGGAGATTTCACTCAATTTTGGAAATACTTTCAAAAAGGATTGGGTAAGAGTACTATTTTAAGAAAATGCTAGTTTGGTTTTGGAAATTAGGTAAAAATGTGTTTGTTAACAAGTATTAAAAATTAAAAATTTTAAAAACCGACTTCAAAAACGTGCAGATGCAGATTTTAACTAAATTTATATAGGACCACCTCTGAGGTACCCCCTTACTAGCAAAAAAAGAATCATATAAATCGGACAAGGTGGTAAAGCATTATCGCTAAACATACATAAAAAAATGAACAGTTTGAGGATTTTCTCATGGACCCAATTATTAGATTTTGAACAAATGTATATGGGACCAATCCTGAAGTACCCCCTTTCCAACAAAAAAATAATTATTAAAATCGGACACCGTGTTAAAGAATTATCGCTGAACATACAGAAAAAAAATATCGTGACGAATTGAGAACCTCCTCCTTTTTTGAAGTCGGTTAAAAAATAAGTTAAGACTGATCCACAAAATATGTTTCAAAAATAGGTCATGACTGCGAAAGACAGTGATAGGAGTTATGTCCGTGATAACTAGGCACGGCTCTGAATTAAATCCAAAAACTGACACTTAAAAATAAAAGGAATTGTACGTAAATTTTTCCAAGGCCTACTTTAGAAACACTTTTTGTGGATCACTCCAAATAATCTACATTGTATCATTTTAAAAAATCAATTTTTCAATATTTTTTGACTAAATTTTTAATAGAAATAGGTAATACCTACCTATTTAAGTTCTACTAACTTAAAAAATAAAACTTTGTTTTAGTTGCATGGTCACCTTACTGGGAACACATAAAAGAGGGATGGAATCGAAGACATGAAAAAAATTGTCTCTTTCTGTTTTATGAAGATATGAACAAGGTAGTTGTACTTTAACCTAAAAATAAGTCAAATGTTTTCAAAAAAGGAAAACAAAGACAATGTTTACGAAAATTATTATTGTTTACGTAAAATTTAAATGACTTTCAGAAATATTGGGATTTTTACTCAATAAATGTGTTTGTATTGCAGGATTTAAAACCAGTAATCGAAAAAATATCAAATTTTTTGGGAAAACAATACTCTGACCAAGAAATATGCTTACTTGAGGACCATCTAAGGATAGACAATTTCAAAAACAATAAATCAGTAAACAACGACGATCACAAAGAACTGGGAATTTTATTGAGTACAGAAGAAAATTTTGTAAGGAAAGGAAAAAGTGGAGGTTGGAAATCATATTTTGATGATGATTTAAATACCGAAGCTGATATATGGATTCAAGAAAATTTGAAATCGTTTGATATTCAATTTCCAATCACAAAATAAATTAATTTTTGTATAATTGGTGCCTCTAGATTACAAATATTTCACTACAGAAATAACATGATTATAAAAAAAAGAATGGTTAAAGTTCAGATTATTTTCCATTGAACGTTTTCAATACTGTAAAAGTATTTTAAATTTTGAAATTAGATTAAATTATATTTAATTAAATTTCATTTTTAACTTATATGGAAACGGCTGTTAAATCAAGAAAACGAAATCGAATTTGGTTATTTTAATAAGAAATTCTGACTTAGTACATTAGATCAGTTGGTTGATAATCTAAAAAATCCATAATTAAATATCACAAATTTTTGCAAAAAGTGTTTTGTGACAAAACAAATTCGAATCGTACATGAAGAATTATTTTCAAACGTTGAAAACATTTTTTTTAAGACCGACCAGAAAGTATACACTTTCTGAATAATTTGTTGTCCAGAAAGTAACATTTTGCCGATCAAGACCGGAAGGTAGACGTTAGGGACCGGTAGAAGCTTTACCGGTCCCTCTTTTTCATTTTTCCGGTCACTGTTTGATAATACAATCTGCCATGATTTAGTTATTATGTTAACAACGTTCCGATTTATTGCAAGTGACAGTTCGTTGATTTTTAATTTGTTGTTTATGTCAAACTTGTTTTCGCAAATTTAAAAATATGGATTCAGATTTTAAATTATCTGACATAGAAAATGAAATTCCAGAAGAAATTTTGGAAGCAGCAAAAATGTACATTTAACATAAATATTTAAATATAATGTATTTGGTTAGTTTATGCGGTTGTATCCATTATCTAGTTTTAGTATTTGTTAATCACTTTATTAAATAAAATAAATAATTGAGTTTACATCGAAGTATCGGTCTTAAAAAAATATTGTACGTCACGTGACCGAAAATAAGTGTTAAGCAGATCTCGCCTAAGGCTCGCTTGTCTCGACCTGCAAAACAATACTTTCCGGTCTTGTAACGTAAATTACTATTATATAAGATTAATGAATTTATTGTCTTTACCTTCACTGTCAGAAGTTACTTATATAATCAAAACATTTTCAGAATCAGATATAGCATTGACAATGATGATGAAGGTCAATCCATACTTAATTTACCTACATGATTCCTTATTATTTAAAAGTCTGCATTCAGGATATTACCCTAGCTCCATAAAATTTTTAACATCTCACTCAATGATCTGCTCTTCAGCCATTCTAATTAATAGCTCTTACTAGCTCAATCGTTTCGCAAAGTATTCCAAAATAGGTCTTATCTTTTACTACCCTGGTACCCATTGGTTACTGTAATATACAAGGTTTTGTCAATACTTTACGTTCGTCTCATAAAAATTATACCTAGATCCTGGAAAATATTTGCTCCTGTACTTTCCAAATTTTCTGCTGTCACTTTCACTTTTTTAACCTTTCTGACATGCCTCTACTTTCCCCTGAGGGATTACGACAGGTTCCTCTCTACAATCAGGTTTGGATTTCAGTCTGCCTTTCGCTTATTGGGCCACTATTTGGTTGTCCTACTCCTTCCCATTCATTCAACTTATATATTTTTTCCATACATTCTATCGTCTAAATTAGATCGGTCGCAAACTCTAGGAGTTCGATCACCTACCCATATCGTGACTGGTCCTACACTATCATTTTAGCATTGGTCTTATTTATTTCATACTCCTTTCTTTTAACTATCATCATATTTGCTGCATCCAACATACATTGTTTACTCTTGGATTACCTCTTAGAATTATATCACCCATAATAACTAAAATCTAAACTTATAATAATGTATTTCTGAATTCTCACTTTAAATAGTAAGTAATCTTAGGAAAAATAAGAAATAATTATTAAAATGTAGATATTTTGAAAACAAATTTCAAAAATGTTTTGTACTAGTCAAATATTGTTTTAAACTTTTATTATTGTAGTGTAGTAATAAATGAATAATATTTAATTTTAAAATAATTTAAAAGAAATCAATGTGTAATTATAAATTTAAAATTAAAAAATATCTTCTGCCCCTCTTCTTTATTCTGATACTCCTGCCTTCTGCTTTAGCTCCTATTTTTTTCTACCTTTCGTTCTCCTGCCTTTAATTCCTACTCCTGTCTCTTTTTCTAACTCCTGCTTGTCTGTCTCCTGTTCTGTTGTCTGGCCTCCTCTTGCCATCCTGCTATATCTTCACCCTTTTTATCAATTTAAATAAAATTTATATACCTTTTATTCTTTTAATATATTTTATTTATATGTACCATATAAATCCATGTGTCCAAGCGATTATACAACACTATAGTATTAGGCCGGTCCTTAAAGATAATCAATTCACATTAAGTATTTACAAAACTTTGTTGGAATATTTTTTAAAATTTAAATAATAATAAATTTAATTTTGCAACTCTTTCTGAGATTAATAATTGCAAAAATTTAAAATTTATTATAACTATGTGAAGGGTGTGTGTATTCTTAAGATTCAAAACTACCAATCTACAACCACATTACCCTGAATCTTTCATAGCCGTTGTTTATTGACTGGTTCATTTTGCGAAAAACAATATTTATAGCATAAAACACACCTGATTAAACTTTGAAAACTCAATTCAAAGGACCATCTCCGCTTTACACCCTATAATACTATTTACAGAAATTAAACCTAAGCGCGACTCTTCACAACTGAAGCCTAAAATCCAACTACCCTTCGAGACGTTTTAAGATACATTACACCACCCTACAGTATTTCAAAAAAAAATTATTTCCAAGTATTTTTAAACAAATTTAGGGTAATTCAGGTCTGTAAATTAAAAAATAAAAGCAGTTTTTCCAAATTGGTTCTTGTTTTTGAGATAGCAGATACCATCATTTTTTAAGAAATTTAACCATAACAGATGCTTTTAACGAACGAGAGTTCGAGCCTGTCTAATAACGTGTTGACTGTTGACCACGTGATCAATGCTTGCAATTTTTTGCCACTTGTCTCTTGATTTTAATTTTAATTGTGTCAGTTCAGCGTAAGCAGTTATACTAAGGGCTTAGTGTCGCGGTTATTGTGCTTTTCTTACCTATTTTGTGTATTTATTTGATATTACAGGTAGAGGTACATGTGACGTATATTTGTATAAGTTACGTTTGTTTTTCAAAGGAATGAGTTCTTCACAAAGAAGCTGCTGCATTTGTGGCGAATATACTGTAGAAAAGCAAAGAAAAATTATCACAGATTTTGTTAGGCAAGCTAATCAAGGTTATTTCGGAGATCAAGACTAGTCCTGGGCTCCCCATATAGTTTGCAAAACATGTGTCGCATCTTTACGACAATGGACAAACCAAAAGAGAAAAAGTTTAAAATTTGGAGTGCCCATGATGTGGAGAGAACCCAAAAACCACCACGACGATTGTTATTTTTTAGTTAATGTAAAAGGTTTTAACAGATACAAGAAAGGGGAAATGGGAATATTCTGATTTAGAATCAGCACGTAGACCTGTGCCACATAACGAAGAGATTCCCGTACCAGTATGTATCACATTGCCAGATGTATCGATGTCAGAAGTAGAAGCAATTGAGGACCAGTACAGGAACAGCAGTGAAAGTGAATATGAGAGAATACAATCAACATCCCAGCAATTCTCCCAAGAAGAACTGAATGACCTGATACGGGACCTCGCTCTATCAAAGCAAGCATCTGAACTTTTAGCATCCAGGTTAAAAGAAAAAAACTGTCTACAGCCAGATATAAAAATAACAATTTATAGAACACAAACTTGTTCCTTACTTCAGTCAAGATGAAGATCTTGTTTATTGCAACCATATTCCCGGACTTCTTCGTCAAATGGGAACTCAATTTGTTCTAAGTGACTGGCGGCTGTTCATAGACAAATCCAGTAGAAGCTTAAAGTGTGTTTTGCTACACCATGGCAACCGATATGCTTCAATTCCTATCACCCACTCAACAAAACTTAAAGAATAATATCAAAACATTAAGTTAGTATTGCGGAAACTCTCCAATGAAGAGCATCAGTTTTTCATTTGTGTGGATCTAAAAATGGTGAACTTCTTGCTTGAGCAGCAAGGTGGGTACAGGAAACACCCTTGTTTTATCTGCTTGTGGGAAGTAGGACGAAGCAAGATCATTAGAAGAGGATTAATTGGCCAATAAGACAAAATATGATTGTAGGAACGGCAAATGTCATAAACGAACCATTGGTTGACCGTGAAAAAATCATTCTCCCACCATTCCACATCAAGTTAGGACTAATGAAAAAATTTGTTAAAGCTTTAAATAAAGATAGCGAGTGCTTCAAATACATATGTAGATCGTTTCCTAGGCTAAGTATGGAAACGCTAAAAGCGGGTTTTTTGATGGCCCTCAAATTCGCAAATTCATTAAGGACTCTAATTTTATAAATCACATGACGACACTTGAAGCTGCTGCTTAGTGTAGCTTTGTTTCGGTGGTTAAGAACTTCTTGGGTAACCACAAAGCGGACAATTACGAGCAACTGGTGCAACAGCTGTTATTGAACTTTAAAAACTTAGGTACTAATATGAGTATTAAAGTACACTTTCTTGAACAAGGGGAAATATTCCACCAGGATATAAAGGCGATGGAAGAAATATATCAGGGCAGATGGGATAAGCATATGATGGCAGGGCAGACTATTGCTGGAGCCTCCAACGTGATGTTCCTAAAAGAAAATCGTGTAAAAAGAGCTTCTTCCCTACGAATTAGATATAATTATCCAAATCAAATTTTATTTCTTTGTTATAATACCTAATAAATCATTATGGATTTTATTGTTTTTTCGTTTCGCTTCTTCGACAACACTGTAATTTTTACTACCCCATAAGCAAGTTTATGAGGACTACTGGTTTCTTAAAGTGATTTATTTCTTTATTTTATCACAATTTTCTAATATATCTCCAAAAATAGAGCCAATCCAACTAAATGGACCTCATATTCGTAATGAGCACCACAAAATTACCTAGAAATAGCTCAGATATTGTTGGCAATAAAATTAGTGTTGGACAGTGTTATCGATCAGCAGAGAAAGCAATCGCATTTGCAGTGCACAGGTCACTTTCAGAGAATATAAATTTTTGATCTATTCCAATAACATTTTGTAGAAATTATTATACAAGGAATTACTGTCAATTATTAGGTATAAATTAAAATAAAAAGCTCAAGTACTAGTTCAGAACCTTTTAAGTCATAACAAATGATTTACAACGGAGTCATTTACAACGAAATGATTTATTTGAACACACAAAAATCGAACAGTTTTAGGACCAACAACGCAAAATAACTTTATCTTTAATTGAATGAATATAAGTCCAATACAATAATTTCAGAAGTTGTTATTAGGAAGTGAACATAGTTTGGTAATATTTTTAGTAAAATTTCCTTCTTTAGTCTTAATCTTTACAAGCCGAACCTTTTTATTTGCACTAGAGGAGATTTCAAGTATTCTGGCTAAAAACCACTCCAAAGGGCGAGTATATTGTCATCCTTTACCAATACTATATCATTTTGGTATATTCTGAAGTTACTCCTTTGTCCAACGTTTCAAAAAATTTTGCTGGACCCTGACCTATTAGGAAATGTCCAGGAATTAGACAAGATAGATCATTTGCATCACTCTGCAATGATTTAAGAGGATGAGAATTCAAAGTGGTATTTTGCACTTTTAATTGCCGCTTCCATAATTCCATCCCAGTGGGAACTAAAAGGATGGATAAATTTCCATGTTATTTGCTTAGACGTTAGGAAGTTTTCTATGGAATTGATATTTTCCTTGTCTTGGAAAAATCATATAACTCTTTCAATTGATTTTTGGACCCCATGAAATTTGTTGCGTTGTCGCTAAATATAATAGAAAGATTTCCGCGCCGGGATATAAATCTTTTTAATATTAAGAGGAATCATTGTTTTAATAAACTTGATACTAACTCTATATGTACAGCTTTAGAAATCATCTAAACACTGCGACGTAACGTTTTACTGAAGGAGCTTGTCGTTTTGACACAGTTTTTATTAGGAACGGACCACCGAATTCTACGCCTACTTTGGAAAATGGTCTAGAAGGAGTTGTTCTTACTGGGGGAGATCAGACATCAGCTGTTGAGGAGATTTTGCCTTGAACCTATGAGACGTTATACATTTTTGGATTATGTGTTTTGTTTCTATGAGCTCGTTAACGGCCAATATTTTACACGGAAATTTGACAATACAGTTTACGCACCTGCATTTCCTAACCTCAAATGTTCATATTTTAGCACAAGCGTAGTAACGAAATTTTTAGAGAGTAACAGAATTGGATATCTTTGATTATAGGGTAATTGTGCATAAGCTAAAGGACTTCCTACTCGTAGAAGATCAGAACCGTCCAGAAATGAACATAAATGCAATATGGGTTTAATAGAAATTGTTTTATTAGAATTTAAGTCGGAAATTTCTCGTTAGAAATATTCTTGTTAAATAGATTTAATAATCAGAAAGTCTGATGTATGCAGCTCTTTCACTGTAGGTGTACCAGAAATTTTTTCTGAACGCTTCTTATTATTATTATTGTCTAAATCTGGATTTAGAAGAAATGACGGCTCATGCCACCAAGAGAAGTTTACTATTTCTACAGGAGCCATTCCCCTAGAAAGGAAATCGGCTGGATTATTTTGTTTTTTTTTTGACGGCACTGGAATTTTGAAGTGAATTGTTGGATTTCTGAGACTCTGTTGGACATGAAAATGGTCCATTTGGAAGGATTACAAGCCCAACCAACACAAAACTATTTGGGACTCTGTCCAAAGGCAAACCGAAGAAATATAAATTTTATTTTCAACAGCCGAAAGTATTGTTGATGCTAATCGTGATAACAAAACAGCACCACATAATTCAAGTTTGGGTAATGAAATAGTTTTTACAGGAGCCACTCGACTTTTTGCTACTATCAAATTGGATGTGACGGAATTGTCACAGTAAATGGAACGCATGTATAATGAGCACCCATAAGCCTTTAGGATGGCAGCACAAAAACCGTCTATTTCGACTTTTGAGAAATTTCCCCTATCGTGTCACTGATTAGAAAGTTCAGGAGTTAAATTATCGCCCCAGTCAATCTTTGACAATCAAATATTTTGCATAAGAATTTTTGCTTCTACTAGAATAGGAGTAACTTAACATAATGGGTCAAACATTTAGGCTATTTGTGATAAAACCTTTTAGTTGTGGAACTGTTATTAGAAATAATTTTTTGCGAGAACAACTGCAAATTTATTGGAATAAGGATTCCAGGAAATACATAACACTTTGTTCGGCAGATTTTCTAATTTTATATTAAAATTTTCCTAGCAGTCCTTTTTTAAATTTTTTTTTGGAATTGTATATTATTTTAACTCCATTTGTGAAGATCGAAAACAATGAATTTAATAACTGTAATAATTGTTTTTGAGTTTCTTTTAATTTTTCTAAGTAATTGCTACCATACAAAATATCATCAATATAGTTGGGTAATTAACGGATCCTCGCCTTAGGAAATTTTTTCTTGATTGCTCAAAGAAAGTTCGTTTAGAACCCTAGCAGCTAAATACGCAGCACTATTCATACCATAAGTATTAGTCTGAAGTTATATACATTGTAGATCAAGTTGATAGGTCATATTTTGTAAGAATGTTTGAATCATTCTGTACATTTTTTCTTGATCACAAGTAAAAACAAAAGAAAAAAGTCTAAAACGAGCGAGGATGTTAAACAATTCTTGCTGGACTAGAAAGCCTTCTAACATTGTGTTATTTAGGAATACACCAGAAGAACTTTTCATGCTAGCGTCAAACAATACTCTTAATTTTGTACTAGCAACCGTGCACGCTAGCTTCGCTCGCTCCTTCCTCTAGTGATAAGACCGTTGGTGGGACGAGCGTAGCTGACTCTCATTGTGTAGGTGTAAAAAGGACCCGCCCAGCCGACGTTTAAAAATTCGAGCGCGTGAATTTCGAAACGTCAACCGAGCGCGCTCGTTTCGCTAGCTCCTTCCTCTAGTAGTAAGGCCGTTGATGGGACAAGCATAGCTAACTCTTATGGTGTAAGTATAAATATGGCACGCATTGCCGACGTTTCGAAATAAGTGCGCTAATTTCGAAACCCAGTATATTTCTTATTAAGCACGAAGGTGTATATTTTATTAACATAACTTGATTTATATCCTATAACTTTTTCAAAACTTTTTGAAAACTTATCAGGAATGTACATATTAATAAGTTAAATTACTGTTTGTTCACTCTGTATATAAATTTCGACTTTAACATGTCAATTTCTTAAATATGAGTTGATTAAAAAGATGTTTAGAAAACATGGCCAGTATTTAAATTTATTACCTTCTATTTACCTATTTATTTACTTTTATAATTTTCAGATGGGTTTAAAAAGTATCTCTTGAATATCTAAAATATCTTTAGTTTAAAAATAAACTTAATTTTAAAAATAAGGTGTATTGATGTTCGTTTTAAATGGGATGGCTAAAAGTTTTCAGGGGGTGACGTCACGCTGCGCCGGCCAGAAATTGAATGAATTCGCCTATCCGCTTTAGTTGATATAGTCATTAACTTTGGTTCACAATTAATTTATCAGACTAATTAATTCTCTTGTTTGAAAGTTTAAAAACTTTTGGATTACCCAAAATAATTATTGTTTATTACTTTATAGATAAAGTAATATTAATATTTAGTTAATATGTACAATTTAATCAAAATGGATAAAAAAACGCTGGATGCGACTGAAAATTAAAACTTCTAAG